GAGTCCTGGGTTCCTGGGTGGGGGGGGAAACGGGGGGAGGGAGTGCAGGCCCCAGCGCCGCCTGATGGTTCCGTTACTCTGCAGCGTGGGCGTTTTTAAGAATGGCCGCGTGGAGATCATCGCCAACGACCAGGGGAACCGCATCACGCCGTCCTACGTGGCGTTCACCCCCGAGGGGGAGCGCTTGATCGGGGACGCTGCCAAGAACCAGCTTACATCCAACCCCGAGAACACCGTGTTTGATGCCAAGCGGCTCATTGGCCGCACCTGGAATGACCCTTCTGTGCAGCAGGACATCAAATACCTGCCGTTCAAGGTATGCCCTGAATGCAGACGGTGGGAGAGGGACCTGTGTGTCTGGACAGGAGAGTGGGCTGCAGGTGCTGTCTGCCCTCCCTTTGCCTGAGAAAGGGGAGGGTACTGAATCACGGTGCCCTTTTGAGCAGCCCTGCAGCTCCCTCACCCCCCTGAGAAGGGTCAGGGGCCACTGATGTGGCTATGGTGTATAGATCCCAATTCTGTGTGTTAGCTAGGATTCAAATTATGCTGGTTATAGAGACTTAATCACTAGAGAGAAATATTTGGATAAGTGGGAATAACTCTATGAACTACCAGAATAGGAGAGTATACATTGTTCTTTTCAGGTTGTTGAAAAGAAAGCCAAGCCCCATATTCAAGTTGATGTTGGAGGTGGACAGACAAAAACGTTTGCTCCTGAGGAAATTTCTGCTATGGTCTTGACAAAGATGAAGGAAACTGCAGAGGCTTACTTAGGGAAGAAGGTAAGTTTCTGAGTGCTTATTAGTATAAGGACTTGAAGTGGCAGCTCTACAGAGCTGCTGATGGTGGGTGGGCTGAGTCTGGGGGCTGACCTTGCAGTTCTAAACTCTGTTCAGTGCTGCTGGCCTGTTGCCTTCAGAGGCGTAGCAACACTGGCCCCTTTACTGGCCCAGCTGAAGGGTGGGTTTTCACCTCTAAAAAACAGTGGGTTCCTTCTTGTCTGCACTACTATGGTTATTTACAGGCTATGTGATTTTCTTTCACTTCTGTAACAGAACTGTATGTCTTACTCCTTATTCAGGTTACCCATGCTGTTGTTACTGTGCCAGCCTACTTCAATGATGCTCAGCGTCAGGCTACAAAAGATGCTGGTACTATTGCAGGGCTGAATGTGATGAGAATTATCAATGAGCCGTAAGTAGCTTTGCTTGTCCTGCCCACAGGGGAGGTGGGGGGTGCTGGTCCCAGTTTTCTGACCAGGTTCTTCCCTGCACAGAACGGCTGCTGCCATTGCCTACGGATTGGACAAGAGAGAGGGTGAGAAGAACATCCTAGTGTTTGACTTGGGTGGTGGAACTTTCGACGTCTCCCTCCTCACAATTGACAACGGAGTCTTTGAAGTTGTGGCGACCAATGGTGACACTCACCTGGGAGGAGAAGACTTTGACCAGCGTGTTATGGAGCACTTCATCAAACTCTACAAGAAGAAAACTGGAAAAGACGTCAGGAAGGATAACAGAGCTGTGCAGAAGTTAAGAAGGGAAGTGGAGAAAGCAAAGCGAGCCTTGTCATCTCAGCACCAGGCTCGAATTGAAATAGAATCCTTCTTTGAAGGAGAGGATTTCTCGGAGACACTTACTCGAGCCAAGTTTGAGGAGCTGAACATGGTAAGTTTAGAAAGGTAAAGTTAAATTGCTCAGCCCTAGATCGGAGGCTTGTGAATGTGCAGCATTTCAGGCTGTGATGCTGTACTTTGGAGTATAAATAACTTCCTGCTTGCACTAAAAAGTGGGCAGCTGCTCCTTGCCAGGGTGGCTGGGGCTGTGTGACAGCTGAGGCCTCCTCAGTGCCAGCTGATGTTCCCTCTCAGTGGTGGCTGTCCTTTTTACAGGGACATGTAGGGGAGACATGCACAAGGGAGGCATGTGGGAATAGTCTTACAGTCCTGGCTTTTCTGTCTTTCTAGGACCTGTTCCGTTCCACTATGAAGCCTGTTCAGAAAGTTTTGGAAGATTCTGACCTGAAGAAGTCTGATATTGATGAGATTGTTCTTGTTGGTGGCTCTACTCGCATCCCCAAGATACAGCAGCTAGTTAAGGAGTTCTTCAATGGGAAGGAGCCTTCTCGGGGCATTAACCCAGATGAGGCTGTAGCCTATGGTGCAGCTGTCCAGGCTGGCGTTCTCTCTGGGGACCAGGATACAGGTAAGGACACCTTTGCTGTCCTTTGGAGAGAGCATTGACTGGAGAGATGTAGGAGATGCAGGAGAACCCTTCTCTTTTCTAGTCTTTAAGAAGTTTTGTGCCTCTGAGGCCTCAGGAGCTGTTTGTGGTGGTGGGATGTTGTGTTTGCAGTTGAAGCCATGTCACAGTCTGACCCGTGATCTGTTACAGGTGACTTGGTGCTGCTTGATGTCTGTCCTCTGACCCTTGGCATTGAGACGGTTGGAGGGGTAATGACTAAGCTGATCCCAAGAAACACTGTTGTTCCCACAAAGAAGTCACAGATCTTCTCCACAGCTTCGGACAATCAGCCAACAGTGACAATCAAGGTCTATGAAGGTAAGTGTCACCTCTGGTGGCCCCTGTGACAGCTGGAATCTGTCTGTAGGGCTTGAATAGCTGCTGCTATCTTGCTGCAAATGCTGTAGATGTTTTCTAGATGCTTTTGGATATCTCCTTCTGGAGAAGGACTTGGTAACAGCGCCAGTGCTCTGACCCTGCTCTGATCAGGCTTCTTGACCTGTGTCACAGCTGCTAATAGAATTTTTTCCAATGTGTCCTTTTTCCATGGCTGTGTTCTGAAATGCTCCTGAGAGTAAGAGGAGTGTGTCAGAGGTATCTAGACAGATGGGTTGCAATTAAAACCTCACCTTTGTGAAATGAGGAGCTACACATTTTAAAGTACAAGCCACAGCTAGGAGAGATCAAAACCATATCCAATTGTCTTGTAGGTGAGCGTCCCCTCACCAAGGACAACCATCTTCTGGGAACCTTTGATCTCACTGGGATCCCTCCTGCCCCTCGTGGTGTCCCCCAGATTGAAGTGACCTTTGAAATAGATGTGAACGGCATCCTCCGTGTCACAGCTGAAGACAAGGGCACTGGGAACAAGAACAAGATCACAATTACAAATGATCAGAATCGCCTGACACCAGAGGAGATCGAGAGGATGGTTAATGACGCAGAGAAGTTCGCAGAAGAAGACAAGAAGCTTAAAGAACGCATTGATGCCCGGAATGAGCTGGAAAGCTATGCCTATTCCCTGAAGAACCAGATTGGGGACAAGGAGAAGCTGGGTGGTAAGCTGTCCTCTGAAGATAAAGAAACCATTGAGAAAGCAGTGGAGGAAAAGATCGAGTGGCTGGAAAGCCATCAGGATGCAGACATTGAAGACTTCAAAGCTAAAAAGAAGGAGCTGGAGGAAGTTGTTCAGCCCATCGTCAGCAAGCTCTACGGCAGCGCAGGCCCTCCCCCTGGTGAAGAGGAAGCAGCGGAGAAGGATGAGTTGTAGATAGCAGCGTCTCCAAACGTTGTGTGTATATATTGGACTCAGGAACACTTGTTTAAAATATTGAACTCTTAATTTGGAATGTAACTCTGAATCTTCACCTGTGAGTGGAGCTGGAAATGCTAGCCCAAAGTGGCTCTATACTGCTTTTCGTTAGCAGTTGCTTGATGTTGGGGGGAGGGTAGTGGGGGCAGTGTAAATGCAAAATGGGAAGAAGTCCTGGCAGTGCGGTCTATTTAACAACTCGATCATGTGAACTTGGTGTAGAACTTTTCTACCTGAAGTCACCATAATAAATTTGTTATTTACACTGGACTCTGCTCTAGCTCATGTCTTCCCTTCCCAGGTACCACAGCTGGTGCTGACCAGCAGGAGGGTTATGCTGAGACCAATGGCCAAGGTCGGCCTGGACCACTGCTGGTCGTGGTCTGACACCAACCTCGGGCCCTGTGAGCACAGGGGAGGGCTCCTGAGGGGCCTTGGCCTGCCTGGGTCTATGCTCAGGAATGCTTGGTTTCTGGAGTGTTCACATTTCCTTGGGTGGGGACAACTTTCTGGGTTTTGTGCATTCATTTTCAAAATAGTGGAAGCTGAAATGATCCCTCCTCTGAAACTTCCAAGATAGCACTGTGGCTTTGCAGACTGAAGTGTTTATGTTGTCACCACTGTGGCTTCCTTCTGGTGGCAAGCACGAGTAACTCCAGGCAACCTGTACAGTACCTGCTGCCAGCAGGACAACACCCACCCAGAAAGCACCCGCACACCTCAGGGTTGTGAGTACAGCATCATCCATTGAGAGTAAGAACTTGTTTATTGGAAACAGGAATTAACTTGATTTCATTACTAAAAAAAGTGGTGTAGAAAAGGCTGGTGCTACTCAGGGCTGCAGCCGTGCTACTTGATCAGGGTGACTGCACAGTCCCTGTGTATCTGCCCCTCCATGTCCATCCCACCAAACATGAACAGCAGGTGCACAACCGTGTCCTTGGGGCACCCCTCCTTGTCCTGGCCAGCTCCATCTCCTGCTGGCGTACTCTCCTCCTGCCCACTGTGCCAGGGAATGACGCACATGGCATGGTCCAGCCTCCCAGCAGGCAGAGGGGAATCAAACTGGAGGAGTGTCCACTGCTGCTTCTCTGCAGTGCAAAGAGACACAGTCACATCTTCAAATGTAGCTTCACAGGCTCAAAAATCACACAGGGACAGTGACATTATTAGGCCAGTTTTGAACATTATGCAGCATTGCACTGGTGGAGCTGCAGTGCAATGGCACTGACTGCCCCAGGGAGCAGGCCAGGAGGCCAGGGGTAACTAACCCACCCTTACCATGGTTTAGTGGTGGGCAAGTTACAGTTGGACTCGGTGATCTTAAAGGTCTTTTCCAACCCAATGACTCTACCACGCTATGGCACAGCCAAGAGCCATCTCCGTACCTGTGTGGTACCTGTATGTGCTGTCAAGGGCCCCATCAGGGCCTATTCCACCAAAAATGTACAGGTGGTCTTTAAACACAGCTGATGCATGGGACGCCCGTCCTCCCGGGACATCACCTGTGGCTGGGATCTTAACCCACCTCATGTCATCTGTGGGAGAAAAACAACACATCTGTGGTTATGCATTGTAAAAAACCCACAGGTTCTGTTGTGTTAAACAAACAGGACAATATTTTAAGCACTTAAGAACAACTCATCTTTTAGAAAAAAGGTTCCCCAAAATCAAAGCACACCGCACACCGGCTATTGCTCTGCTGGACCTGTACCCACACTTACTTATATCGATGCAGAACAGATCATTGTAAAAAATATCACCAGCTAAACCTCCGTGGATGAAGAGTTTGGTCCCAACTGCAACTACAGCGTGTCCGTGCCGAGGAGCAGGGGCATCGCCAGCAGTGTCTGGCTGGGACCAGGTCAAGGTGGCTGAAAAGGGGAGCACATGCACTGGAAATTGCACAAAGCAATGAACCCAGAGCCCTGCTGAGGCTTCCCAAGGAAGCACCTGCAGCAGGGTCCAACCGCCCCCAGGTGCCCAGAGGTACCTGTATCAAACACATGGAGCCGCTGGTCTTTCACCGGTTCCGCTCCTTTATTTCCCCCTCCAAACACATACAGCCGGTCTCCCACAGCTGCAGAGGAGGTGTGGAACGTCCTGGGCCATGGCTGAACGCCGCTCACTTCAGGAGTCTCCCAGGTTCCTACTTCTAATTAAGAAATCTGATTAACAAAGTGATCAACACGGCCTCAGGGAGCAGGCTCCGCTCCCCCTC